CTGAAGTTGAAGTGACCATCTCGCCAGTCTTCCACTTAAATCTTTTAAGGACATCAGCCACTTAAGACTGGCATGATCCGTGATGATTGTGAACTTCATAAGCTCGACGTACGGACGGAACCTTTTTACCGCTAAAACTGCGGCCAAACATTCCTTTTCTGTGACGGAGTAATTCTTCTGGGCGGAATTCAGTTTTTGGGAATAAAAAGCGATAGGGTTCTCTCCGCCAAATTCATTCTTTTGGAAAAGTACTGCTCCTATTCCATATTCCGAGGCGTCGCATTGAATAAAGAACTCTCTATTAAAGTCAGGGTGCCTGAGAACCGGTGCGGATGTGAGAGCATATTTTAGAGATTGGAAAGATTGCATCGCTTCCGGAGTCATTACGAATTTTTTTCCTTTTTTTAAAGTATCTGTTAGGGCGGAAGATATGGATGCAAAATCTTTTATAAATCTCCGGTACCAACCGGCAGTACCGAGAAAACTTCGCACTTCCCTCGGCGATTTTGGTGGCGGTATCCTCTGGATAGCGCTCACCTTTTCTGGATCAGTCTTCAACATCCCGCTACCAATTATGAATCCAAGGTATTTCAACTCTCGAAAACAGAATAACGACTTTTTGAGTCCAATCGTCAGATTCGCTCTTTGCAGGCATTCAGCTACTTCTTCCAAAATTCTGACATGGTTCTCAAAATCATCAGCTATAATCAGGAGATCATCCAGATATATGAAAACATTGGATTTTAGTCGTCCTGGGATGACCTTATCCATCAACCTGCATAATCTTTGCGCCGCATTGCAAAGCCCAAACGGCATGACCCTGAATTGATATAGTGGTCGACCTGGTACTGTAAAGGCGGTATATGGCTTCGCTTCTTCTTCCAACTCAATCTGCCAGAAGGCATACTTCAGGTCGACACTACTGATAAAATGGGTTTGATCAATTCGGCTTAATATTCCATCGATATTCTGTAATGGATATGCATCCTTCACCGTTAGGGCATTTAGTTTCCTCGCATCGAGGCAGAAACGATTCTTGTTCGGTTTTCGCACGACGGTAGTACGATTACTCCATGGCGAATCACTCTCCTCAATAACTTTCAGAGCGAGCATTTTATCTATTTCATTATATACGATTTCCTGTACGGCCGGCGATAAAGGATAATGTCTATCCTTGACAGGATTCGCATTCCCTACTAACTTAATTGCATGTTTCTCTAATTTCGTACAACCCAGTCCATTTTTTTCAAACGTTGGGAACTTATTTATTATTTCTTCTAGGCGTCTACGTTGTTCCCCTGTTAGTTGGTGCATATTCTTATTTTCGTTGGTCGAGGTTCCACGCATCTGCTCTTGTAAGTCCACGGTTATCTCGTCTATGGGAAATATTTCTGGGGCAATATTAAATAATTTCCAGAAATCTGCTCCTAGATAAAGATCTTGTTCTAGATCTGGGCATAGATAGAAACGCATTTTTAAGAATTGTTGTTGATATTCTACCTCTACCTCTATTTTGCCCACTATGCGATGGGTTTTCCCTGACGCCGTACTTACATTCGTGTCCTGTGGATCAACAATAATGTTTAATTCCTCAACTATTTCTCGGCAATGCTTCCCTAGTATTGAAACCGTAGCCCCAGAATCTAATAGACCCTTTATCTCTTTCCCTTCGATTTTAATGCTAGCGTATGGTCTAGGATCCGTTCTATATTTGCACCGGATGACGGCTTCGGATATCAATTTTTTTAATTCTTTATTTTCTTTATGTCGTTGCCTCAATTTCATTATCCTCATTCTACTTTTCATATTTTTATTTACCCCTATGGATATTGATTCGGAATTATTGCGAGATTCATCTTCCTGAAAAATTTCTGCTCTTTTGTTTTTATAATGTCTCTGCCTGAACTCAATTGGAAGATAATGCCGAATTTGGGAATAGTTATTGACGATGGTATCAACTAATTCTACAGTGGGTTCGTCGCAGCGGGTTGTTCGGAAGAACGATGGTTCCCCGCTAGAACCACGTTCTTTCTCACGTTTCCCGCTTTGCAATTTCCACATTTGGGTGTTATGGTATTTTGCCTTCCACACTTAAAGCAAAATAGTCCTCTTTGGGACGACGGACAATCCCTAAATCCATGACCCGCTATTTGGCAATTCCAACAAACAATTTGGTTTAGGGCCGAAACATCTACTAACTCTTCCGGTTCTACCAAATTCGGATATTCTATTTCTTCTTCTTGCATGGCGTGTACACGTATGGGTCTGTTTATGGTTGGTGGAGGAGCTTGAGATAATGGGTCGCGTCGAAAAAATGTCCTCTCAATTTCCAAACACTCCACTCTTAGCTGCTCTAATGACGACACGGGCATCGAGTACACAATACTCGATAGATTCTTTCTCAAATTTTTCTTAACCAAAGAAATAATCTCGTATTCTGAGACTGGCCTTTCCAGTTTCGATCTCATTAGATTTATTTCATGAAAGAAAGCATCAATGGACTCGGTTGCCCCCTGTTTCCTTTCTAACAGATCCCGCATCGATTCAAATGTTGTTCGCCTTGTCTTGAATCTTTCATTTAACCCATGCTTTAAGGAATCCCAATCGTTAATGTTGTTTGACCTCTGTTGGAGCCAGAACCATTCATAGGCTGGACCAGACACCAAAATATGGAATTCATTTAAAATGTCTTCCCAAGCTAGTTTGTAATGTTGTTGAAAGTATTCCAGCCGGTAGATAAAATCTTCCACCGACAGACTGTTTGGTTTCCCTGAAAAATTTAATCCAAAACGTTCAACTTTTATTCCATGGATGCCAGTACTAATCACGGATGGAATCACAGTGCTTCTGCGATTACCATTATTAACATTATCTCTATGTTGTGTAGGGAACTCATCTGTAGGGTTTCCCGGGGGGTTCGGTAAAGTATTTGGTATTGTTGGCTGATTTTGGACATTTATCGATAACCTGCTGACATTATCGCTCAATCGGTTTATCACCGAGTGAATTTTATCCATTTCTTTGGCAACACTTTCTTCCACCCATGATCTCAAATACCCTCGGGCGTCATTCATACTTTCGCATACCATACTCCTGATTACATTGTTTACATCGCCTTGCTGATTACTTGGAGTAGGCGTTGGAGGTAAATTCGATGGTACCCTAGCACTCTTACTGGTACTCGGTTGAGTGTTGTTAATGGATCCGGACAAATCCCTTATTGTTGTATCCCTAATACCATTGGATTGCTCCATGTTTGAGACTACTTTTTTCTTTTTGTTATTAGGTTTGGGTGATTGTATAGAAATCCTGCTCGTGTCGAAAGCTAGTGTTCTATTGCGTTTACTTCTTCTTTTTCCCGCCGTATAATCACTCATCAGACTTCAACTCGTTTACCCAATTAATTTTATTAAAAAAAATCAATTGTCAATTAATAGCTGTGGGTTTACTTTTTTGTTGTGCCGAAATTTAGATTGCCACAATTTCAGATAATAAAAGCAGGGGTGTATGACTTAATGATTTAAAAATAACTAATTTAGAAAAGTTCTTTAAAAAACAAAATATATAAATACCAAAAAAATGAACAATAGTAATTAATAAAATAAAATATAATTAAACCTATAAGTGTACTAAACATATAATCAAAACGCACTAATAAGCAGAACAAGTAAAAAAAAAATAAATAATTAAATCAAATAAAAATAAGAAAATAGTAAATAAAACTAAAATAATAATCAAAATAAGTTAAGGACAAAAACCATAAACAAAAACATTCAAACACAAGACAATATCAATAGTTAATAGTGATTTAAACAATGACGATGAGAGTTCGTTTGGTGTTTTTTTTTTTTTTTTTTCAATTGCTTTTGAGGTTGAGTGTGTGGACTTATTTCATTATGTTATAAGAAATCCTATCACGCATTATAAGTGTCCTTTTACGGTTGTTCTGGTGTACTGCTAGACTGGACTTTACATATTCACTTATTTATTTTGTTTCAAAGACAAACATTTAGAGACGACCACCACGGCAGTTTTCCCATCATAAGAGAATACGGATCTCGTGAAGGAGGTTAAATTTTCTTTCATACAATACAGTTTGCGAAAACTTCTTCACGAACGCTATTGTACTTTTCCTCTCTTATGCCATCTCGAATTGACGACTTCGAAACAATAAATACCAAAAATTACATAAAAACATAAATTTGAGGGTAACACCACGGCAGTTTTCGAAAGAAAATAACGAAAAAGATCTCGTGATCAAGTACTTCCGTACAATGCACATTGAGATGCTTCACCTCAAGCTTTGCACGTTTCCCTTATGTTATACCCTACGTCTATATTTTCTACTTTAAAATAAAACATACAGAAATACAAAAAAAAAAAAAACAGGTCATAAAACACAATACATTCATTGTTACATTGAACTAACAAGATTATTGCACCTGACCCTTGTAGTTGGAACGAAAATCCTAATTTTCTAAAAACCTCATCTACTATTGCACGTTTATCACAAATTTTAAAGAATTAAAGCTGCGTCTGCAACATGAGATAATCGTTGTAAGAAAATGTGATTTTCGCTTATGCCTATTTGAACCCTATAGTTTATTGCACTGTGCTAAGCTGTTATTGCACTGAATTTAAGACATTATAGCTTTCGCATTGGGCGCCATATTGTTACGTGCCACCTGCTTCGGCACTATGGTGTTGTGGCCGCTAGCTCAGGAGCCATGTTCAGGGGTTGGTTCCATCCCATACACCAATAGCCTTGGGGACGAACAATTAAACAATTAATGGATAAATACAAATTCTACATAACACAAACACTACGTACACCTGGAACAAAGGAGTTTGATATTGCCACTCCCACACTAGCCCGCCCAACCTTGACCCTGAGATCCTACATAACTGTCAATTTTATCAGGGCCCCGTATTCCACACCCACTCCCCTCAGTACAATGTACACCAAATTCACTCTCTCATGAATGAACTAGACAATCATGATTACACAAACAATCATATTACGAACAATTTATTAATATATAAGATTTCCTTAAAATAGAACAAACAAGCTGAAATTTGAAACATTAACTATCAGGATCTCTTAGTCATTGTTTGAGGAGTTCATATATATCAGACCACCCTTCATTACTTCAGTCAACTAAATGTCACCAAATTTTGGACTTTCTAAGTTATGCAATTAGTACCTGCCTAAACGAGCTCTCTTAGGTGGTGAGGGACCCGCAAACTGGTCCACAATCTTCAACGGAACCTCAAAAAAAAAATCTTGATTATAACACTCAAAGTAATTTGGGGTAACCCTACACTCCAATTTACTTATAAAATTTAGAATAGTTAATGTCCCTCACAAAAACAAGAACATTTATGCTGGACACAAAAAAAAAAACACAAATAATAAACTTAGACAACACAACTTAACCTAAATATATTATCTTAACTAAAAATTTGAATATTATATTAGTTCTTTCTCTTAATTTATATGAATTTTTCTGCCTTTTGCTTTTTCTTAAAATTTTATTTAATGGAATTTCTCCTTTTTTCTGTTGCAGGGTCTCCCTCCTGGTTCTGGTTTTTATTTTATGCCAGTGGTTGTATCAAACAAGCGGTAAGTTTAATAAATAACTTTGTTACCTGGCTTTTTGCATTCTTTAGTACAACCTGCTTTGTTCTTTTCCAGGATCACTCTTCCGCGACCTCGTCCACCGGGATAAGGCAGAACCCGGATATCATGGATCAAGGAAATTGGTGTTATGGAGGCGGCTGCTGGGGCCTCAATTTTGCGTTGTGGTGGTTGCTGTGGCCGTCAAAGATGGGCTGACCTCTCCGCTTTTGTTCGCCGAGGAGGCCAGTTGATACCCTCGAGAAATTTAAATTATTTTGGCGAAACAAATCAATTACTAACGCCTTCACCATAAATAATAAAATAAATATCGAGGCTTTTATTGCCTTAAAAAAAATAATTTTTATTTTGAAATTTGGCAGGTTTTAAATTTTTTTTTTTTTTACTTTTATGACCACTATTTTACTGTCGCACCACTTGAATAATAAGGGCGCGTTTTCCTTTTTCCCCCTTTTATACCTACGGGAATGACGCGGCATTTTTCCGCTTTTCGGCTTTTCCTTAATTTTTCCTGACATTTACCTTCTTTATGATACCGACCTAACGAGCCCTTACAATATCGCAGGTTGTATTTTCGATTAATTTATCTACCAAATAATCGATCCAAATACAACACTGGCAGTGGTGGCAATTCTAATTACCATTGGGACAGAACATTTCCGCTTCATTTTTTAAACACGGGTTGCTGCGGTTTGCACGTCGCGGATGTTAGCTAAAAAAACATCAATTAAAAATTAAATAGTGCCCACCACGCAACACATATCATGTTTCCAGCAGCTGGCTTAATAGGGCTACCTTGTTGTTCTAATATGATTCTGCGTTTACGTCATGGTAGAAGAATACAGGTAGTCGCATCGACACAGCTGCTGGGACAATGAACTGTCAAAACAATTTTAGAATTGAAAATGTTGAATGAAAAATTATTTCTATTTGAAAACATTGTTGAAAAACGCGAGTGATAATAACCTCCGAATGACGTCATATAAGAAAACATATAAAGATCTACTTATATTCTCTTGGCCGAATGTGGTGAATTACCGAAAATGATCGTGTTTACTTGCCAAAGAGTTCAATTGACTATGTACACCTTCGGTTGGCCACCAAGACTCGGGCCATGGTGATGGTGTGGGCCGCCATAACAGCCGATGGTCGCTCTCTATTAATCGAACGTGGCATCAGAATAAATGACGAATATTATCGCGAAAATATTATGGAGCACGCAAACATTTTGGCCGCAGTCCTTAGACATTCCAACAGGACTCAGCATTATCGCAAATGCCGAATATTATCGCGAAAATATTCTGGAGCACGCAAACATTTTGGCCGCAGTCCTTAGACATTCCAACAGGACTCAGCATTATCGCACTCCGCACCATCACACTCAGCACGCACCACCCAAGCATGGTTACAAAATGAGGTTCCTCGCTTCATTTCGAGCGCACAATGGCTACCAAAATCTCCGGATACCAATCCGTTGGACTATTGTGTCTGGAGTATTTTGGAAAGCAAGGATGGCACTAAAATACCAAAGTGTTGATCACCTCAAGCAAGCGCCTCGCCGGGAATGTGCCAAAATACCGCAGAGCAACATTCGGGCAGCGGGTGACAGTTTCATTGGCCGTTTGAAGGCCATAATTCGAGCCAAAGTTGACCAATTCGAAGAAATCTAAACTTATTCTAAAATTTGATGCTATTTTTTGCTTTCATTCAATGAAATTTAAAAAAAATGTAAAAAAGGTCGTTGCAAAAATGGCTGTACTTTAGAGAGTTATTCAAATTGAGCAGTGTGCTCGTAGAATTTTGTTTGGAGAATAAGATAATTTTTCAGCAATTGAGAGCTGAGAGTGAACTGTATTCCTTGTATGACATGTTTGACAAATGTCTTTTTTGACATATTTTGAAAAATATGTATGTCAGGTTTACATCAAAGCAATAACGCTTTAAATTTATTTATATTTATGTCAGGTCAACATCAAACCAATAAAGCTTTATATTGAATTAAACGAGTGTTAAATAAATATTGAGGTTTATTTAAATAAAACTAAAATTCTGTAGTTAAACAAGCATCAAAAATTAAGAATAATTGTTAAAAAAGATAAAATTTAATTTGTAGCACTATATGATAGCAAAAAAATATATAAAATGTACAAATTACTTAAGATTTTGTGCTAATTTATTTAATTTTGTATATTATTATTTCTTGATAAAATATTTTTACTTTTAATATTAAAGTAGTTTTTGTTTTTATTTTTTTTTAATAAAAAGACACGAAAGTGAAAGAGGTTGTTGAATTTGTTTTATCCAAAAATTTGGTTTGCCATAATTTAGTTTCACTTATCATTTAAATGTGTTTTGGATTTTGTAAGGTATATTCTTAAATACTAAAAACACACCGAGAAAATTGAATTAAAAATGTTTATTTTAGGTTTTTATTTTTTTTTTCTTTTAATTTTTTCCTAATCGAATTATAAAAATTTTGACGTATTTTGTTGTGGGGTCTAAACCTTTAATTTTGTTGTTGTCTTAAATTGTAAATTTCGTTTTTTTGTTGTTCTTATTTAAAACACCGAAAGCTTAAATTTAGATTCTGTTTCCTCAACATGTTTTATTAACTTATTTATAAAGACAGAAATAGATAGATAGATCATGGGAGGAGAAATATCGAAAATTTTGAGTTAATTACCTAAATGTGTTTGTTATGGTTGTGTTTTTTTACAAATATATATAATTTTGATTTTTTTGTTTGGTAGATTAATAATACATTTTCTCAGCACATTTTAGTTTTTTTTTTTTTTTCAATAAATATTTATAAACTCAGTATAAAAGGAATTTTTGTGAATTAGTTTTTGTTTTATGTCTCTTAAATGCTGATAGAAAACAAAAAACAAAACAAAAATATAAAAGAAATTTTACTTTATCACATTTTCATTACGTCTTTGTTCTTAGCACCTGATAAACCTTAACTCACAACATTTTCGAAAAAAATATTTTCTACCTTTGTTGGAAAATGTTTTTGAATTCAGGTTTCTTTTTGCAAAAGTTTTGTTAAACAATAACTTTTACCTACATCTCCTTCTTAAGTTTCTCATTCGTAAACACTTCGTCTGTTTCCGTTCTTGATCTAGTGTAAACATTTTATCTATTACTTACATGTATAAAACCGTTTAGCATTTTCTCTTAAATTCCTAACATCGCCTGTATCATCCCTCTTTTTGACTCAAACTCAAAACCTTATCACATTTATATACTATATTTTTCCAGATTCTTATTCTTACTTTTTATTTAGTTTCATTGGTTCTACATTTCCGATCCATCGTTCATTTATGTATTCCATTAATATTTGCCAATTCATACCTACGTTTGTCTCACTCACTCGTTATTTTGTGTATAAAGTAAAATTGTTTTTATGTTTTAGGGTATTTAAATTAAAATTCACAATAAAATTATTGTAAATAATTTGTATTATTTGGTATTGAATGAAGGAAACCAATTATTTGTTTTTATACCATCTTTAATACAAATTAGGCTATGTTTACATTGTATGAATTCTTTGTGATAATTGCTTAATCATGTGATTTAATATGTTTACGTCGGTAATGAAAATGGGGTCAATGTAAACAAATCAAAGCATTCCTTGGACAATTAACAGTTTATATAGCTGTCTGCCCACACTTCAAAAAGTTATCAGTTTTCAGTGAATGAAATATTGGACAGCGACACAAAAAAGCTGAATTCTGGTCAAATAAAGATGTAAGATTTGGTGGTGACTCCAGTGTCAGCTCATTATATTGTTTACAAGCGTACAAAAGCATTTTGGTGAGAATTTTCCCTGAAAAAAGTTATTCGTGATGAAATTCAAGCGTGATAGTATGATTTCTTTATATTTGGCTGGAAAACCACAAGTGGCTATCGTTAGAGCACTCCAGCATTTAAATGTGAATAAATCATTTGTGTTTCGTACCATCGCTCGTTACCGTGATACTGGTAGAGTAGCCCAACGTCAAGGAAGTCAACGGTAGAAACAGCAACGTCGGCAGAAATGGTTCGAAAAGTAAAGAACGACTTTATCGAAACCCGCGTCGCAATGGGTTGTATTAGGGAAACTGTTCTATCTTCATATTGTACCATGATGTTTCTATGGTTAAACATACAAACACCCTTCGCATGGTAGAAGAATATAGGTAGACATCGACACAGCTGCTGGGACAATCAACTGTCAAACCAATTTTGGAATTGAAAATGTTGAATGAAAAGTTATTTAAATTTGCAAAAATTGTTGAAAAACGCGGATTATAATAACCTCCGAATGACGTCGTATAAGAAAACATATAAAAATCTACTTATATTTGAAAAAAAACATTTACAATTTTTTGACATATCAATGCTCCCAAGCGTTGATGCATCTACCTGTATTCTTCTGCCATTACCCTTCGTGACTGTAAAGTGACCTATGACCATAAAATTGAATATAAATTAATAAAAACATTTACCAAATATTATCACGCTGAATGACTTCAATGTAAACGTAGCCTTAACTGATTAACTTCCAATGGTATAATGTTTACAAATGCAGTGGCGTATAATGCATGACGTTCTATTTAGGTGTATGTGGTTTTTTGTTTGTTTTTTTCGTTTCTTTTTTGGTTCAAAAATCAGTCTCTATTGCATGTTGTTGTAGGTTGTTTTGTGGACACTTAAAATATTGTTTATGTAATTTATTGCTGTTATTGATGCTCTTGTTGTGTTTTTAAAAAGTTCTTGTTTATCGAAGTAGTAGTTGTTGTTGCAGTATTTATTTTCTTAGTACGATTGGCTTGCATTTCATTTTTATGTGGTATTTATTTTAAACTGTCGTTTTATTGAGTTCTCTAATTTTTGTTTTCACTATTTGCATTTTATATAGTTTTTGTTTCTCATTTCTTTTTGTTTGTTTGTTTTTAAAAACTATTGTATGTATGTGCCTTAGAAAAAATATCACATTCTTACTTCGTTCGATCGAGAGACTTATTTGTTGTTGTGGTTGTTTTCTTAATTTTGTTTCTTTTTTATAAGTTTTACATTATTATTTGTATATACAAATTGATTTTTGCTAAAATATTTTGTTTTATTGTTTTTTATGTATATATTAGTAGAATTTGTATATATATTTTATAATAATTCATTTAAAAATATATCAATTATCATTTGTTGAGGTCATTACGAAAATTATTGCTAAGAAGTGTATGTTGTTGTTGTTTGGGCGTATAAGTGAGACTTAAAATTGTTGTGTTGCTATTTCTTGATAAAAGTACGTTTACACACAAAATCTTTATACGGTTTAAACCTTGATAATTGACCAATCACAATAACTTTAACGTATATTCAAATTTATTGTGATTTGTCATTTTTCGGAGTTAACATTCATTTAATATCCAATGTAAAACATGGGCTTTCAATTTTTTATTAATTATTTAAATTTTTTTCATCTCACATCTAGAACACTACTTTCTAGATGTGGTTCGCTTTCATAGGAAATAAACATTGTTCTATACATCAGGGGCAGAGTTTTTGTTCCAATGAAAAATATTTAATATTTTTACATTTTTTCTTTATTAAAGTTTCCGCAAGAAAACTAAGCCCCAAGTGCTGAAAATATGAAAAGTTGCGACTTTTCACATCTGCGACATGCCCCAATTGCATATGGTCTGGAAATTGTCATTTACATTATTTTGTTCATTACACAAAACATAATTAATTCTATTATATTTGTATCCTTTTTTTATAATTAAATCGATTCTATAAATATTGTAGACAATTATATAAAAAAATTACTTTGCAATTTGGTTTTATTTTTTTTCTATATTCCTAGTTTAAAATTGTTTGTTTATATTATTTTTTACTTAAGAAAGTGACAACTATACAAAGAGAGAGAGAGATAGATATAGTACTATTATTTCCTTTTTTATTTTGGTTTCGAGAAAAAAGTTAGATTTTGTTAAAAATATTGCTTACAACATCAACAGTAAAATATTTTTTTTTATTTTTGTTCTTCTGCTTTTTTTAATATCCAAAAAGACATCTAACACCAAAAAATAGATTTATAAAATTGTTTTCATATTTCGCTTTGTTTCATATCAGTATTTGTGTATATGTATATATATATATTGTAGGTATATAAATTGTATTTGTAATATTTTTTACATGAGATAGTTTGCTTTACTTTGTTGTTAACAAGATTTGTTGATTTTTAATTAAAATTAAAAAAATCAAGAGGGGAAAAATAGAGTAGGTATAACAAAACTTTAGCTAAGTTCACATGTTGATAATCACCTGTTGACGAACGGAACTTTACCACTTTAGGCAAATTTGTAACTGGAATTGTTATAAAAATCTAAGCTCACTATTATTTATGTTCCATAAAAGTTTAAAGAATTCAATCAATTTTGAGGTAAGATGAATGAAAACATATGCCAAATATGTCATATTAAAGTAAAAGTACGTTTACACTTACTAGATCGAGTGGATTTCAACAATCAATTCCAAACTAAATTGACTCTCAAATATAGTGGAATTTATAATTGAAATTCATTAGAATTGTTATGTATGTATTGTATTTATGGCGTTTTATTGCATTATAGATCTTATACCGCTTTTACACCAAACTCAAAACTAGGTTTTCCGTTTTTAGAGTTATTTATATGCTGTAACTGGCACAATTCTTTCATTTGCCAAACAAAAATAAGGACCATACAAGCGCCATATATTTTAAAATATTCTTAGAAACACTTAAATCGTTTTTATCGATTTTGTTATAATTGCTCATCGATTCATCGCCTGTAAAATATTGCAAAAATCTAACTTAAAACCATTTTTATATTTAGACCTTTACAGCGGGTTTACACTGGGTTTGACATATATTGTGCGCTAACATTGTACGTTTAGATACACTCTTGGGAGGATATAAATGTCGCTCAGCTGATGTTAGCTTAAGGCATTGTCCGATAAAATGAGGTTTGCATACGTGCTGTTATTTATATTTTCCATGTGTATGTCAAAATTGTCATTTTACATATGACTCCTA